AGTACAGATCCTCTACTTTCAGTAGTATGGGCCCCTACTACCTTCCACATCTATCCGTACTTTCCCCAAAGATTGCCTTGACTCCACCAAGTCCCCTGCACTACTACTATTGCTCCCAGCACTAATCTCATCCTAGGCTTACCCTAGGGAAATCTATAACCCAACCCAGTCCTCAGCTGCTGAAGAACTCTTCATAATGCCAATTAACCACTACGTGAATACCATCACATGTAACGAGGCTCAGATAATCCTTCGAGTAAAGGACTCATCCCTACAACGGTTGGACTCAGACAAGAGCTGCGCAGTAGGTTCAAATCCAGCACTCTGAGATTATTCAACCCTGATCACATGTGACTTAACATATTCACCCAGTAACTAACTCCCATCACTCAAATTCCCACAAAGCACAAAGCAAGAAACATTCGGACAAACGGAAAAATCTAACCAGAAACATAATCAAGCAATTCTGTCCACATATCAGGAATCTGTACTAGCATGCGATTCTAAGCTCATACACATATAACAGGCACATAAGGCATCCTCCTAGATCCTTAGCCCTAATCTAGCATGCAGTTCTCATAAGCATATCATATCTAAACCAACATGTATGGGTAATTTGGGAGAACTTACTTGACCTCGGCTGATTGCATGCACCACACCCTTTTCTCTTTTCAAAATTCTTTTCTCTTTTCAAAGTCCTTTTCTCTTTTCAAAATTCCTTTATATAAAAATGATTTTCTTTTGAAAACTTTTCATACCAATTCCTTAGTTTGAGTTCAGACACACCCGAGAGTGTGCCCGAATCCCTCAAACCAAGGCTCTGATACACTTGTAACGACCCAAAACTCAAGACCAAAATTTCATTTTAATTCATTAATAAAACCATAAGTTATCAAACCATTTCATCAAAACATTATCATCAAAGTTCCATATCAAAAATCAGAGTAAAACATCCCAGGCTAAACATCATGGTGTGTGTGATGCAGTCATCCCGAGCTCTTCCCTCCGCTACCGGAAGTACCTGAAACCAAAACTGAAAACCGTTAGCACGAAGCTTAGTGAGTTCCCCAACCTACCACATACAATACACATAACCACATATTGGGCCCCCGCCCGCTGCATCGGGACTTGCCCGACATCGGACTCGCTCCGGCATCGGGCCTCGCCCGGCATCAGGCCCCGCCTGGCATCAAGCCCCGCTCGGTATACAAATTTGTTTCTCTTAGGCCTCGCTTGTCTCCGAGCCCCGCCCGTTATACATATACAATCACATAAACATACTAGCACATAAAGCAAACATACACTACTGAAAACCTGTTCTAAGCCCTCGCCTATCTTGGGCCCCGCCCCTGTCCTGGTACTGAAGAGTCATGGAACCCCTTACACGCTCCTGCTAATGGTGAGATACGGGCCCTCGCCCACACTCACCTCTCTCCTATCCCGAGCCCCGCCCCTGCTATGCTAATAATGAGATACGAAACCCCGTCCGTACTCAGCTAGTGGTGAGATACGGGACCTCGCCCACACTCACCTCCCCACCAGGCACATACATGTATCACAAAGACAACAAGTATAATCTACTATGCAACATATAACATTCCTCGGGCTTACCCGGGCATCGGACCCTAGTCCGGAAACATACTACCGACACATGCAAGAATGACAAAGACCTCTAGCATACTAACATACCTCGGGCCTCGCCCGGCATCGGATCGTAATCTGGAACATATATCATAAAAAGGCCTAGAGCTAACCCCCGGGTCTTCCTACTATACACAAACATAATGGTCCAGCATTGTGGCCGTAGACCCATGCACACAATGAGGAGACTCACCTCGCACTACTGAATCCCACCGATAAACCTATGGCTGCTAACTGGCAATTCCCCGAACTGCTGCTCCTTCGGCTCCTCGAGCTATCAATACCAAAATAACACTTAGCCCAAAACCAATAATCCTCATTGAGGTAAAATGACCATTTACCCCTAGTCCAACTTGGTCCATATCTAAGGCCCAAAACCATAATATAAAAGGCCCAACACTAGGTAGGCTTCCCAAGCCCACTAGTGGTCCACTAATGGCCCAATTTGCTAAATTGGGCCCAATCCCTCTAATAGGACTTACCCTAATCCTAAACATATTCTTGGACCAAAACATCTGACTCCTAGTGGCCCACTAAGGCCCAAAAACCCAAAGTCCACTGCATGGCCCAACCCGATGCCCAAAACACACCAAGCCCATAACTGATGAGTACGCGGGGCGTACTCTTCTAAACGCTAAGCGTACGGGCTGAATGGGGTGTATGATGCACGTACTTGAATGTACTCCCAACGTATTCCTCTGTTAAGTCACTTTTCCCATTAAGTGCTTAATACTCTAATCCAGAAGCTACAATCACAGATCCAATTCCTTTTCAACGTCTTAAACCATAAAGTCGCTTAGTTGGTGGCTTGCAACCCACCAAATGAGCCCAAACTTGAAATGTGACAACATACTCCCATGGCAATGGCTAGATCTCATGCATGAACCCATTAAGACATTCAAGATGGCAACTTTCTGCCTTATGGACTCATTTAGCACAGAGAAAGGCAACTCTAAGCCTAGGAGTCGGATTTGAACCATAAAGCTCTAATCTTGGGACCAAAAAGACTCCAAAACCTTACAATACTAGATCTAAGCATACTTTAGGAAAGTTCAAGGCTTTATACCTCAAGGTGATCTGAAATAGAACCACAAACTTGGATCTACTGCTTCTCCTTTTGATCCACCACCTTGCTATGCTCTTCACTTGCTTCGAAAATGGCTTCACAACTCCAAAATGCGCTCTAATGGCCTCCAAACCTCCAAGGACACTTAAAGGTGGTTTAGGGTTTCGTGGTGGCTGTCTAAAGATGAGAGGGAGGCTGATATCTAGGGCATAGTGTTCTTTATATAGTGACATACCCTAAAAATTAGGGTTTAGTGACTCTGAGCGTACGCCCCTCCGCACCCGCGACCATTCTCATTTATACGTTGGGCGTAACCCAGCTTACGCTGAGCATACCCAGCTAAACACACGCATGCATTCCATGCATGCATGGGGATGCCTTATCACAAAACTCCATTAGGGACTAAAATTGACAATAAATTCAAAGTGTTATAACTTCTTCGTTCTAAGTCTGTTTTCGACGAACTTTATATCCACGAAAATGTGGCGGGAAACCCTACGCTCTTAGTCATGCCCCCAAGCCTAAAACCTTACGAATAAACCTGAGACCCATAAACGACCGAATCGCCCCTACCCTTTGGCCTCCGAGACCACAACCGAGTACTTTCAAAACTGGGTGTTACAGAATGAGTCTGATCATCATCACTAGAGTAGAGTTCCTTCAATCATTTCCAAATATCGTTTGTTAAATCAAGTTAATTGATTAGCCTAAACGTGTTTGGAGTTAGAGCAAAGCGTAAATCTCTTTTTATTTTGAGATTATTTGAAGTTTATCTTTCTCTTCCTGTGTAACTTCATATTTTTCTAGGATTTTGGTGAATTGACTTTGATGATAAACATACTCTTTTGTTTTTAAAAATGGACGTGGTCCTTCTGTAATTGATTTCCACATATATGATCCATGTTCTTCAATTCTTGTAATTTAATATTTAAAGTGTAATGCCAAAACCTCGTTGTCTTCTTTAAAGAGAATAGGAATTCGAGTAGTAGATCCAATACTCATCGGGAAATTGAAGGAAATTCCAATGAAAATTTTATGTAAGAGTCAAAATCAGTAAGCAAAAACATATTTCAAATCAAAACAAGTAATCTGAACAAAGACTTTCATATCAAATTGCAATTTGATTGCAAATTGCAAAATGTGGAACGGATCTAAAATTTCAAAGTAACAAATGAAAAAGTCGAAGAACAAGAACGTATTCAAGGATTTGAAAAGAGTTTAGAGAAATTAATGCTCTGATACTACTTGTAGGATCGTTGAGATTGTAAAAGACAAAAATTCATAATTACAAAGACAAAATTGTATGAACATAACAAGGTAAATAAGATCTCGATTTGATTAGAGTGTAAAAAAGCTTGATTATAGATTCCGTAAGAATCTCTCCAAAAGAAACTCTCTCTATTTAACTAACTACCCTTATATATAGGACAGTTTAAGAGAGTAGGTTAGGACATGACCAATGAGGTCACGACATCTAAGCTAATACAGTTAGTTATGTGTCATAACTAACTGACCAAAGTTGCGAAGCCTAAGCATACAAACTACGAAACCAAAATATATAGCATTGCGAGAGCTTTCGCATACAAACTCAAACACAATATTACAAATTGCAGCTTAACAACTTTAAAAAAAAAAAAAATTCAAGAAATTTATGCATGGAAGAATGTTTATAAAAATAATTTTTTTGTTATGATAGGGCAAATGGTTAATTGAACACATTTATGATGAGTGTCATGAACAGTTATTGCTTGATAATGTTTGATTGTAAGAAAAGTTTTATTATTATGGAATGTGATATGTTTAATTTTCATGGAATGTTACAGTTCAATATATATATATATATATATATATCTATATATATATATATAATATATATATATATATATATATATAGATATATATATACTATTAAATCCTTTAATAATAAACTAATTTAATTATTAAATCTATGTTTTATTGAATTTTGTAAAGTTTATATATTATAAGAATTTTTTTATGTAATACTATGTAGATTAGAATGATGATATGAATTGTGAATGCCTTGATAAAAAATATGGAGACATAAGATTTTATTAAATATTTAATTTATAAAATATTAATAGGAATGTATAAATTAAAACTTAGAAAAAAAAAAAAAAAAAAAAAAAAAAGCTCATTGTATCCGGTATTTTCTCATCCACAAGTTTAACTTCCCTGATGCAAATATCGTAATCCGCCACGTCATCCTGATAATCCTATACGATAGCAGCATCAGATTTCATTTACTTCTTCCAACCAATTACAGACGTCCTACATGGCAAGTCTACATCCACCAGAAGTTCCATTTAGCAAGGACCTTACCCTTCTCCATTCTCATCGCAGCCACACACAAACAGCTAAAGGTTTTCCGGCAAGAATGGCTTCTATGGCAGCAGCGTCCTCCCTCGGTGTGTCGGAAATGCTTGGAAACCCGCTCAACTTTTCCGGTACATCCAAGACGGCTCCTTCGGCTTCCAGTCCTGCCACCTTTAAGACCGTCGCCCTTTTCCAAAAGAAGAAACCGGCACCCAAGGCTAAGCCCGTTGCGGTCACCCCAGCTTCCGACGAGCTCGCCAAGTGGTACGGTAAGTATTATCACGACCACTACTTAATTTCTCGAACCATGCATCCTCATGCTTTAAATTTCTTGAGTTAACTTGAATTTGACAATAATCTGAAATTATTTACAGGTCCCGAGAGAAGAATCTTCTTGCCGGAAGGTCTTTTGGACCGATCGGAGATCCCCGAGTACCTCAACGGGGAAGTCGCCGGAGAGTAAGTCAAAGCTATATATATCATCTACATTCACAATATACCATACCAGTAAAATGACTTTTATTAATTTCATCATATAATTTATATGCAGTTACGGTTATGATCCTTTTGGACTTGGCAAGAAACCAGAAGACTTTGCCAAGTAAGTTTCCATTCAATTCAAGATAAGTATTATACATACATAGTTGAGCGAGACAACTCAGGGAAAAATCTATTCTGTAGTTAATTAATCACAACAATTAATTTTATGCAATGAAGATACCAAGCGTTCGAGCTTATTCATGCACGATGGGCTATGTTGGGTGCTGCCGGTTGCATCATTCCTGAGGCCTTCAACAAATACGGTGCTAACTGTGGCCCTGAAGCTGTGTGGTTCAAGGTTCGTATCACATCACTTAAATCATGTATATCATGGTGATTGGTGAAACTAATTAAAGACGAAAATTTATGACTCGAAATTGATCTTGAGTCTATATATATTTGGGTACATGCATGCAGACCGGTGCTTTACTACTTGACGGAAACACTTTGAATTACTTCGGGAAGAACATTCCCATTAACCTGGTCCTCGCTGTCGTTGCGGAGGTTGTTCTTGTTGGTGGTGCAGAATACTACAGAATCACCAATGGCTTGGTATGGAGTATGTACATATATGAATCATAGAGTTAACTAATTTTTTCAGAATGTATTCCTTGAATGATTTTGAGGTTTTATGTACAGGATTTAGAGGACAAGCTACACCCTGGTGGGCCATTTGACCCATTGGGATTGGCTAAAGATCCAGACCAGTTTGCATTGTTAAAGGTGAAGGAGATTAAGAATGGTAGACTAGCAATGTTCTCCATGTTTGCATTCTTCATCCAAGCGTATGTGACAGGACAGGGTCCTGTTGAAAACCTAGCATCGCACTTGAGCGATCCCTTTGGAAACAACATACTAACCGTCATTTCTGGAAACATTGAACGAACCCCAACCCTGTAAACCCCTGTGTGTACTCGAAACAATGTAATCTATATATATTTATTTTTGTATCCACCGTTCATATGAGAAAAGGATCAATCGTTGAAGTGGTAGATGCTATATTTAAGATTAAAAAAAATCTTTGCTTTTCTCTTTGACTTTATGATTTTACTTATAAGTAAACAAACATGAACCACTAAATTTATGTGAACATAAGGTTAGGGTTCGATTAATGCTGTTTCATTGGGATAATTTTTTGTCCCTTCACACGAATAAAATACAATATTTTTCTAGTTACATTATTTAACTACTCACATAAAAAAGTATCGGTTGTTGAGTTGGTGGAAAAAATGTTGGTTATTTTAATATAATCAAACAATTTAAGTAGTTAAAATTTACACGAATGAATTAAAGTCTTAAGCAGCTCAAGAATAAGTGAAAAGGTGTGGAGTTCATATTTGTATGAGCTAGTTTGAACCCAGACATATTGAATGACGGGATGAATGTGAAACGACTCTCTTGACAATCTAACATTACAAGAAGCAAACCTGAGAAGGTCACGAGACAAGCCCTTGCATGTGGGGTTCGAGGCATGGACGTTACGTTGGATTCATAGATGCAAACTTGCATTACAAATTCAACAATGAAATCTTAATATGTAGCATTAGTGGCTGGCCGTAAAGAGGCACAATGACTATTGTGGTTGTAACCGATATCGAATATATCTACCATTCTGAATACGTGATAGTGTTATTACTTCAGACAAGGCATATAACTAAATGTGTAATGGCAATGCGTGAAATTAAGGTGGCAGACACGATATGGTTCATGAATTAAGCATGAACGATATGATTTCGTTGGAGTTTGTACGACTGCAATAAATTTTGTTCCATTAGAAACCAGACCTTTAGCGATGGGATACAAAATCTTGTATCTTAAATATATGTGACAGACTACAAAAAACATATATGGAGCTTTGGGACAGATCAACGATGGAATAATGTTATTGAGTTTTGTCGTCGGTGTCCTAAATAAGTGTAGTAAGTGACCAATTTGCGATGGATAATTCGTTGCTAAGTACATCGCGAGAAAAAAATAATCTCTAGCTAACTCATTACCCACTCTTTAATTGCCTATGGAGGACGTCTACCCTTGATCCGTCGCAAACTACCATCAGTAATGGAAGAGCAACGAATTCGTGCGTCTCTCTGAAACCGTTTCTAGTAGTGTTGACGGACAACTTGACAAATGGTTTGGTCTGAGACTTTTTGCACAAGTCCATGATTGTGATGTGACTAAAATACAATTAATTTTTGAAGTGGCGAAACATCAATTTATTTTAGTAATACAGAATTTGAAATAGAGAAAGTCAACAATTAAGAGATTAGAACACATGTTGAACGTTATCTCATATATGCGTTCAAACATGCAAGCGATATGTTGTTGAAGCTTATTTTCTAAGTTGTTCGTTTAAAAAAAAAATGAATTTACATGTATGTGATTTTAAATAACTACCTATAATATTGTGAACTATATTCACATCTAGCATTTAGGACTTGGCTTCCGCTCATGTGTATAATTAAAATGAGTTAAAGGTTTGATCCATAGGATACCCACTCAAATATTAAAAATGTTGTGAAAAACTCATGAACACAATGTTTTCTCAACTAGAACAGTTTTCTTCTTGGTTAAGAACCAATTCGACGATATTTATACGACTCTTTACAACTCAATCCTTACTACAAAACACCTAACTCTATTCTCTTAATCTTTCACTCAAGGACCGAAGAAAACGAAAAATATATACAAAACAATAGAAACCCTAATCTATAATCTAGAGAGAAAAGAGACAAGTGCTTGTGATATATGTGTGTTTAAAATGAGCAAATGAATCGATTCAAAGCTCCAGTCACCTCTATTTAGTCGGGTCATCTCTAAATCCACAGATCTTTAGGATTCATGTGTCTTTCAACTAATCTTTACACTATGCGAGCCACAAACCAGGAAATACAAATGTGTACACAATCTCCCCCTCTCACCAGAACTTATCATAAAACAAGTATTCTACATGTTTCATTTATTTCCATACAAAATAGCTTAAATACACAAAGAACGAAAAACAAAAATTGCATAATAAAATATTAAGATTGTATTTATATAGAATAACGCATTTTAACATCTCTCCTCAATCTAGACATTCATTTATTTTTTATGAAATACATCACTTAATCCTATTCTTTCGGATAGAAAATTCGTGTTGGGTTGATGTTAAAGATTTAGTTAGGATAAATGCATTTTGATGTACAGAATCAATCTTTATTATTTTCAAAATTCCACATTTAATCTTTTCTTTTACAAAATTAAGATCAACCGCTTAAAATGCTTAGTTTTTTCATGAAACACGAGACTTAAAGCAAGTTTGATTGTTTATTCATTATCACAAAACACATCACTACTTGTTAACTCCTTTTTTTCAAGATCATATAAAACTTATGTGTTATGTGTTTACATGTGCATATGGTAAAATGTATAGATGTTGCATGATCATTAAGTGTTTCCGTTACTCGATGATATTTAACATTTTTCAGGAACTTCAATGGTAGATAAGGGAAATAATCTAGCATAACTGCATCGAGCTTTCACAACTATTCTAAGTTTACTATTTCAAGAAAGAGAAGTTTAAAGAGTCGGAGAGCTAGTAGAGCTCATAGGTTTCTACCTGTTACTAACGTAATATGCTTTAGAAGACTTCCACTATTTATGTTTAAAGGATTTTACATTATGTTTTAACATTCGTTGATTACAAGAATACTTATTTAAAAACTATCAAAATTTTTGTTATGAAAATGTTATGTTTTAGTAAAATAAAATTGGGTGTTACAAGTTGGTATCGGAGCTAGGGCGCGTGCCATTGGAGGATGTTACAACAACATTCATATATTCCCGTAGTATTTTAAGTATATTTGTTCTTTTAGAGTTTTTCGTTTTTAGAATTTCTTTTTCAATTTGTTCTCTCATAGCTTCATATATATTTGCTAGATTGAGTTTTTTTAAACGAACACAAGGTTTTTGTTGCAACATGCATCCATTCAAACCCAAGTTTACCATTAAAAGGAAGAAAAAGAAGGTGGTGGGGTTCGAACCTAAAATCTTCAACGTGGAAGGACAAACCTTACTACTAAACTAGAAAAACTTTTGTTCAGATTCTCGCAAAGAATATATATTATACAAGATACGACACATGCTAAAAATCTCTATAGAACGTCATAGATGTTCTCTATATCGTAGGTGAAGGACCTTCGGTATATCTATATATTTTAGTGTGCATTTTTATGTTGTGCTTTAATATCTTAGTCACACTATACTTTTTGAGTCTGTTGTGGGCACTACTATAAATAGTGTTGCAGTCTTAAGTGTTAGATAAGAAAGAGTTCTTACATTTCCACAGTTGTACACTTGAGATTACCTTCCAGACTAATTGAGCTTAAACATAATTATTTAAACCTTGTGTTCATTTCGTTATCGTTTGATTCATGTTTGATCTTTTTAATTTTGCAATGTCATTTCCATAGGATCCTATAATTGTATCTGTAAGGTCAAACCTTATGATCTGATGAGTCAAACACATGACATGCTGATCTGTCAGCGTTAGCGTCTTCAAGTCAACAGCGCTAGCGTCTCAAGTTGAACAACGTCGACACTTAGTATACTTATCCGATTGTAATCTTTTGTATATTAGTCAGTTATTATAGATAAATATAGAATAGATATTAGATCTGTAATCTTTGTGATAAGGATCTGATCTTTAGTATAGATTAGACGCAATCCCTTCAATCAAGGAATATAAATGCATATATTAGTATATATATATATATATATATATATATATATATATATATATATATATATATATATATATATATATATATATATAGATATATATACATATACAACATTAGGGCAAACCCTAATGTTATGATCGTGGCTTTGTGTCAATCGTCTTTGTGACAAACCCGTCTTCTTGGTGAAGACAAAACCTCTTTTCTTGCTGAAAAGAACAATTTTGAGAACGTATGTGTTATTTACTTTATGTTGATTATTTTGCTTAGATTAGTCTTACATTTCATATTCATACTTGAAGTGAATCCGGTCGAATACAAACCTTCAATTGGTATCAGAGTGGGTTTGTGATACACTCAATTAATCATGTCGACCTCTTTCGTTCCTAAGTCATGTGTTAGTAATAAGATTCCTCCCTTTGACCAATACGACTTCTCTGATTGGAAATCAAAGGTCATGAAAGTTCTAGAGTTCGTGGCTCAGATTGTTAAATCTCATGCTGACACTTCACATGATAGCGTTGGGATCCTTAATGTTGATTCTCCTCACACTGCTGATAACCTCAAGTCGGAACGGGACGGTGCATCAATGTATCAGGGTAAAGAGCATATTTGGTATTTAGACAGCGGCTGCTCAAGACATATGAAAGGATTCAAATCTCTCCTGGAAGATTTCATAAAGAAGGATGTAACGCCCGTAGATCCGGGCTAGTCAATTTAGAGACGATAAGCATCAAAAATGACTTTTTGATGGATTATTATTTAGAAGGATTAATCTTAACCAAGTTGTAGTATATGTCTCAAGGTTTCCGAAAATATAAAGAACGCCGAAATCCGAGTTATAACGAAGAAGTTATGACCTGTCGAAGTTTCGCGACAGAACCGGCACGACACAACGCGACATAAATAGTGAATTTACGATAGAGCGATATTTGGATTTAGCGATCTAAACGAAAGTCGTAGAATACGTTAAACCGAGAGCGTGCATGAAAAGAACGCCCAAATCTGACTTCGTATGAAGAAGTTATGATTTTTCGAAGTTTCGGCTTAGCAGTGTACACCTCGAAGTTCGAATATGAGATCGAGCGATATTTAGCCGAAACAATCTAAACGAGAATTGAAGATCTCGTCGATAGTAGTCCAACGGTGAAAAGATAGACGAAAACAGACGTCAGATGAAGG